GAATTATAAGATCTATTATAATTTTTCTCTCTTTTCCATTGTTCTTGAATTAATAAAATCTCTTAATTCCTCTATCATATTCTTGTCTTTATTATTCTTTTACTTGATCATATACTTCATTATTATTTATCATATAACTTCAACATCTCAATCCGGTGGTTTGTTTCACAACAATTGGTATCAGAGCAATTCTGGTATCTTGGTTGTTTTACAACGAGTGGTATCAGAGCGCCAGGTTCAGTAGTTCTGCAGGAGCGCAAGGTTTGATTTGTTTGAAGTTTCTGTTCGTGATGGCTTCCATGAAGTATGACATTCCGCTTTTGGATCGGAGCACTAGATTTTCACTATGGAAGGTTAATATGCGTGCAGTACTCGCACAACTAGATTTGGATGATGCGTTGTAGGGAATTGACAAGATTCCCGCAACTTTGACCACGGTTGAGAAATTACGAAAGGATAAGAAGGCAGTTTCTCACATTCAGATATTTCAAGCAAAGCAGACATCGCAGAGAGCGTTGTAAGTGATGAAGATCTCTTAGTTATTTCTGATATTGAGTCTAAATCGAAAGATGATTGGATTTTTGATTCAGCTTGTGTGTTTCATATGTGTCCTAATAAGGACTTGTTTACTATATATAAAACTGTTTTCAAAGGTGTCGTGTTTATGAAAAATAACGCATCTTGTCGGGTTGCTGGAATTGGAAGATTGAAACTTTTGGATGAGACAATTAGAACGCTTGGCCAAATTCGACATATTCTAGATTTGAAGAAAAATCTCATCTCGTTATCTATCATTGATTCAAAAGGTTATGAGTTCTTTGGTGGAGGTGGAGTTTTAAAGGTTTGTAAAGGTGCCCAGTGGTATTAGAGGGACACAAAAGGTCTCAGTTATAAATCTTGCAAGGTCGTGTAGAATTTAGAAGAGTCAATCAGCACAAGTTCAGGACCGTGGTGGACATTTAGTTAGGTACAATACCTTTAGGAACTCATAAAGGGTCGGATTTGAAGAATACAGTTCAGTGGAGTGCAGGAGATATGGATAATGACACTTTGACACCATCACC